ACCACCGAAGCTGCCGCCGCCGCCGCTGCCGCAGATTCAAAAACAAACCCGCTTCTCCCTTGCACGCGAGGCCGTTATGCAAATTAATGTAGGCGGGGCTCGGTGGACGTCTTCTTGGCCACGCCTTCTGTGCTATCAGCCAATAGGCTCACAGATTGGCTGATCTCCATGCAAATTGCCTGGTTTTTTATTTGAATGAGGAAAATTGGCCCCGCCTCCTGCTGTAGAAAACGGAAGGTCTGAGGTGGTGGCGCTGTGTCTTTCGGTTGCAGTGTGAGGTGTCTTTCTCAAAACTTCCCTCACGCAGTGAGGAGCACTTTGTGAGCGCCCTCTATGAGGCTTAGAAAGAAGGAAGCAAGGAAATAGGTAGGTGGAAGTTAAAGAGCTGAGGGAAAGGCTTTCAAGAAAGGCTGGAGTGTGTTGATTTGTTCATTGTTTATATTAGAAATTCACAAAGTGTGCTTTACATTGTGTAAGTAATGAGGCGATGAGGAAAACACATCTTTTCTTTCAGTTGTCCTGCGCCAGAGCAAGCACTTCTAATCATACCTTTCCACCAGAAGGATCCCTCTTACTCAGTCTTACGTTGGGAGCCGACCCTTAATGAAAACCAGTGGGATGTAGTGGAGAAGGTGCTACTCAGTTAGGACTTCTGGATTCAAATCCAAGGACTTGGAGGGACTTGCCTGTTACTCGGAATAAGTGTGTCACTCAGTTTTCTCATCTCTAAAATGGTGATAATGCCTACAGTTAAAATCCGCTGGGAGGACTAAATGACGGTAAAAGTAAATGTGTTTTGTAAAGCAAAAAGAGCCTGACAAATAATAGATCATAGAGTTTGGTTGTTGATTTTTAATGTAATTTCTCCCTTAAATTAATCTATTCCTTTAATATTGAGTTAATAATCACAGTGTTCCAGACCTATATTAGGCGCCTGTCCTCAAGAAATCTGTACTACAGTGGAGGAGACGGAACAGTAAATGGGAAATGTTTGTGAGTAATAAGAAATTAGTGCAAAGTAGTACTTATTTTTATAATTTGGGCCTCTCAATTTAGTTGATATAGGTAGGAGAATCACCTAATTCAGACTTGGAGAGTCAGTAATGCCTTCCTAGAAGAGGTCATCTCTAATGTGAGAACTGATTTAATAGATTTCTTACCTAAAAGCTGAACTTTATTGTGAGAGCAATGAGAAATCACTTAAAAGATTTAAGTCAGGAAAATACAATTAGATTTTTTAATTGAATTTATTGGGGTGATATTGTTTAATAAAATTATATAGATTTCAGGAATACAATTCTATAATACATACTCTGTATATTGTATTGTGTGTTTACCACCCCAAGTCTCCTTCCATCACCGTTTATCCCCTTTTTACCCTCTTCTACCTCCCCTAGCCTCCTTTCCTCTGGCAATCACCATACTGTTATCTGTGTCCATGAGTCTTTCTTTTTTTGTTTAATCCCTTCACCCATCTCACCTAGCCCCCACCTCTGCCCCCCTGACAGCTGTCAGTCTGTTCTCTGTATCCATGAGTCTGTCTTCACTTTGTTAGTTTATTATGTTCATTAATAATATGCACTCCTGTGTTCATTGCAGTGTTATTTATAATAGCCATGATTTGGAAGCAGTCCAAGTGCATAAGAGTAGATAACTGGATTAAAAGTTCCAAGTTCCATATGATTTCACTTTGCCGGCAAACTGCAGCTCGGCAAACTGCGGCTCGTGAGCCACATGCGGCTCTTTGACCCCTTCAGTGTGGTTCTTCCACAAAAATACCGGCTCTTCCACAAAATACCGACTTCTGCACATGGGCCACAAAGTTTCAATCGCACTGTACGTGCATGCCCACACGTGGCATTTTGTGGAAGAGCCACATTGAAGGGGCCAAAGAGCCGCATGTGACTTGTGAGCCGCAGTTTGCCGACCACGGGTCTAGGCTAATGGCAAAAAGAAAAATAATTCAGCATTAACTCAACAATTCATTAATTTTCTTAGGTATGCTCATATTCTAGACTTGTCTCCCTCAGACTCCAACTAGGATATTTTATTATATTCAAATATCCTTAAATATCCTCAACCATTTATAGTCTCTTCAGCCAGTCTACCTAATAGTTGATCTAACTAATGAATTTATTGTTTTATTCAGCAAATATATGTATGTACTCACACTATTCTAAGCACTGGAGATGCCCAGGGGAAATGACATTGCCTCTATGGGGAGTCATATATACAAATAAACCATATGAAATCATTACTATCATGGAGATATACACTAAGTATAAAAGAAATATAAAACAGGAGGACCTAAATCATCCTCATAGTATATAGGGAAACTTCACAGAAGAGGTAATATTTGACCTGACTCATAATGCAGAACTAAAAATACTGTCAGAATAGGAATGAAATTCAAGTTAGATAAGACAGAAATGCAGAGACACTGAAGAATTAAAAAGGAATGGCTTCAATTTCCAGTAGGATGATATTCAAAATAATTGTGAATCCCTGTCACCAGGCATTGACCTATTAGAATGGAAGCAGCCTTAAAGACCCCCTACTTAGTCAGATGTTAATCTTCTAGTTGGAGGATTATGGAGAGGTCCAGGGGTTCTTCAGCTGGAGAGTGAGGTATTATGTTGTACACCTGAAGCTAATATAAAGTTACATGTCCATTTATCTCAATTTTGAAATATTAAAAACTTATGTGCATCAGAGGACACTATCAAGAAAGTGAAAAGACAAGCCACCTAATGGAACAAAATCTTTGTAAATCTGAACTAATATTGAGAATTATAAAGAATTCCTACAACTTAACAAGAACAACAAAACTTAATTCAAAAATGGGCAAAGGATTTGAATTGACACATCTCAAAAAAAGATACACAAATGGCCTATAAGCACATGAAAAGATGCTCAATACCATTAGTCATTAGGAGAATGCAAATCAAAACCACAATGATATACCACATCTCGCAAGTTAGAAGTATCATCAAAACCCAAAGAAAATAAGAATGTTAACAATAGTGTGAAGAAACTTGCATGCAATGGTGGTGGGATAGTCTCCATGAAAAACAATTTAGCATTCTTTCAAATTGTTAAACATAGAATTACCACAGGTAATTCATAGGTTATATTCCTAGTAGAATTGAAAGCAGAGACTCAAAGAGATACTTGTATACAAATGTTTATAATAGCACTAGAGGCTCGGTGCACAAAATTAGTGCACGGGTAGGGTCTCTAGGCCTGGCTGGTGACCAGGGCCAATCTGTGGGGTGACCAGCAGGGTGATCAGGGGGCCCCCATTGGCACCCGCCTTGGCCAGCCTGGTGCCACCCACTCACTGGCCCCACCTCCCACCACCGCCGCCAGTTGCCTCCCTCTGCAGGGCAAGCGGCAGGGCAATTGGGGGGCCCCCACTGGCACCAGCCTTGGTTGACTTGGGGCCAGCTCCTGCATTGAGCATCTGCCCCCTGGTGGTCAGTGAGCATTGTAGCGTCCAGTCATTCCACCATTCAGTCAATTTGCATGTTAGGTTTTTAGTATATAGGACTAGAGGCCCAGTGCATGAGATTTGTGCACAGGGGGTGGGGGGTCCCTAAGCCTGGCCTGTACCCTCTCCAATCTGGTACCCCTCAGGGGATGTCCGACTGTCGGACATCCCTCTCGCAATCCGGGACCGCTGGCTCCTAACCGCTCACCTGCCTGCATGCCTGATCACCCCTAACTGCCTCTGCCTGCCGGCCTGATTGCCCCTAATTTGCTCCCCTCCCAACCCGATCACCCCTAACCGCCTCTGCCTCGCCCCAGCCTAAGCTGCAGTCTGGCCTCCCTCTGCGGGAGGCAACCTGGCCAATTAGGGGAAGGCACCACCACCATTACCCCGCTGCTGCTGCCACTGCTGGCCACTGCTGCCACGGCTGTGAGCCCGGGCCCTCACAGCCACTGTGGCTGCCTGAGCCACAGCCAGCCCCTCCCACACGGCACTGGCCCTAGGCCCTCATAGCCACTGTGGCTTTGTCCGGATGGATGTCCAGAAGACGTCCACTCTAATTAGCATATTACCCTTTTATTAGTATAGGTCAATCACAACAGCCAAAACATGTGAAAAAACATGTCCATCAACAGATGAACAAATAAAATATGATATGTACATTCAATAATATATTATTCACCCATAAAAACGAATGAAATTCTGATATATGCTACAACATGGATGAACCTTGAAAATATTATGCTGTCCATACTACCCATTATTCAAATCAATCTACAGATACAACACAATTCCTATCAAGATACCAATGTCGTGTTTCATAGAACTAGAACAAATATTCCAAAAATTTTTATGGAATCACAAAAGACCTCCAAATAGCAACAGTGATCTTAAGAAAGAAGAAAAAGGTTAGAGGAATCATGCTACCTAATATCAAACTGTATTACAAGGCCATGGTAATCAAAACAGTTTGGTACTGGTATTAAAACAGACTTATAGATCAATGGAACAGAATAGAGAGCACAGAAATAAACCCATGCATTTATAGTCAATTAATATTTGACAAAGGAGGCAAAAACATACAATAGTCTAAAGATAATCTATTCAATAAAGTCTGTTGGAAAACTTGGACACATGTGCAAAACAAATGAAACTAGATTACTTCTTACACTAAACACAAGAATAAACTGTAAATGGATTAAAGACTTAAATGAAATACTCAAAACCATAAAAATTCTAGAAGAAAACATAGGCAATAAAATCTCAGACATCTTTCAGGGCAATATTTTTTCTGGTATGTCTCCTCAGGCAAGGGAAACAAAAGAAAAAAACAAAGGGGACTACATCAAACTAAAACATTTTTTCACAGCAAAGGAAACCATCAACAATATGAAAAGACAACCCACTGAATCAGAGAATATAGTTGCCAA